TTGCAGATTCTAAATATTTTATGTTTCATTTACATGATTATTCTGTCTTTGGTGTAATGACCCTCAAGTTTAATGACTGTAATGTATCAGAAACAACCACGCACAGATCTGCATTTCCTTGCAAAATTACAATTTTCTGCTTTCATATTTCATATGGATCTCTTCACAATACTCATTTTTCTTGTGCTTGAACACTAAATTATGATTACATCCAAGACATTTTGACACTCTATGCAAGTTAATTTCAATTATGTTATTAATTCTAATTATAACAAATTAAATATAGGCAAATGAATAATTTATTGTAAGGCTCTCTTCTATTTCATTAGTTTTTAATTTTCAACATTTCCATGATCTGTTTGGAATATCTTACTATATCTAACTTCACCACATAAATTTAAGTACACTTTTTAATAGTGTGTCCTGTACCTCTGTTTACTTAGAAAATCTATATACAATTTTCCCTTTGACATTTTTTCATTAATTACTTTTCCTGACACAAAACCATGATCATCCTGCAGTATGCCAACTATATAGAAAAAGATAAATTGCTAGGATAGCTATAGCAAAAAAAAAAATTGTAGTAGAAGTGCAGTTTATGCCATGAAAACATGGCTCTGATAATAACATACACTAATGACATCGATATGCAGATACATAATTGCAACTATAGTCCTGCTACAGTAGTTACATCAATTAGAAGCAGCACATTTTTTTACCTAAAACTCTTGCCCAAAATGCCTGTTCCAGAACAGTATTATCTACCATTCCTGAATGACAAAATTTGAAGGAATAAGAAATTACATAAAGTTTAAAATCTACTAAACTGTTTATTGTATTACAGTAAAGATCAATACTACAAGGTACTGCCAAGCAAGGTCTTTTTGCAGGGTATTTTTTTATGTATTACTAATGTGTTGGTTTGGTTTTTTGTGGGTTTTCATTTTGTTTTGGGTTTTTTTTGCCTTTGCTGCAGTTGCAATACAGGTCCAAGATACATATTTAATAATGGAGAGCAGAGGTCATTCATGAAACTGCACAACAATTCACAATTAATACTCATTAAGAAACCCACAATAATAGAACGTAAGAGAGGTTTAACAGTCTTTTCCGGGGAACGCTTTGGCCTCAAATTTAAGCTTCATCAAGAGTCATAAATATATTCATAACAATATACAAAGTTTTAAAATAAAATAAGCTTGAAGTAACCATTAGGACAGTAGCTGTCTCAGCACTAGAAAGTTATCACACCTCTTGGGTCAAATAAATTCCCAAGGGTTTAACATGCCATCGTGTTATTACGTACAACAGCAGCTCTTCAGTGTGAGATCAAAGCTCCTGACTGCACAGCATACTAGTAGCCAATATAAACTCCAGGTTTGCAAAGCACAATCTCTCATCTGCAAAATGGAAATATGTGCATGTAGAAATTTGACAATAAGCTAAAAAATAGCCATGTGGCTGTAATGGGGATTATATATATAATTTACTACAACGAGACAGAGTAAACATTGCAGTCCTGGCCAGTGGCAACCTTTTATTAGCAGAGAGACACCCCCCAGGGTAGTATCAGTTACGCGATGACAACGATCCATCAATTTCTAAGCTTGCAATCAGATTCCATTATAAAGTCACACTTTGATCACTTCGTTTTGAAGAAAAAAACCTGGCCTAAGATCAAGAGAATTAACTTAATAGCAAAAGAGAACTTTTTTCCCCCTACAGTATGGAAAATAATACAAACATCTGTTCGTAGTTATGGAAGACTACAAAAAAAATACGACACAAAAGAGAAATTTTGGTTTTCCTTAACATTTTATAGCCTGGTAACATAAAAAGCTTTCGTCAGGTGAAAATTGTCATGCTACTATATCTCAATGAGTCCTGTATCCCCATATTTGATAATATACTATCAAGATTCTAAATGATCTTTTTGGAAGAAAATTACTAGACCAATATGCTTTCACTTGGAGTAATACATTCAGGAATAATATAGAATCACAAACTAATGGCAAAATTCTGACTTCAGTAGGCCCAGATTTCACCTCCAGAACATACCGAAATGTGTGGAGTCGTCCTAACAGTGCTTTCAGCAAGACCAAGACTCGGGGCATCAGTAACATAAAACGCCCCCAAACCCAAAACAACAACCACCAAAAAAAAAAAAAAAACAACCCACAAAACAAACCAAAGCAAAACCAAACCCTATACCAAAAAGAACCCTTATTAATTTATGCCATACACCAAACCATGCCAAAACACAGACAACTTCAAAATAGCAAGTACCATGAGGACTGTGTATGCTGAGAAGGACAGAGAATCAAGGTACATTTATATTTTAAGGGTATCCTTTTGAGACTTTTAACTCCTGGATTTTACTTCCAGAAGAAACAACTCTGCTCATGTTTTCGTGCAAAGAGGATTAGTGCCATAAATCATCCTGAAAATGCATGTCCTAAGAGATACAAGACATTACTAATTCTCAATTAAAAAGTCCTCTCCAATTTGTAGGAAAAAGGCCAGTTGTCTATTTTGCAGCGTTCTTTCAATTTCCAGTTAAGCTTGCTAGAACTGTTTTTATAAGATAAGGGCCAACTCAGGAAATGCATTTTATCAACAAGCTTTCTTTAATTCTTAAGGATGTCTAAGGACTCAAGTAAACAAACAAAATCCTGTCTTTTCCAGTCGTTCCTAGTAAGCTCTCCTTTTTCTGATCATCTCAGAAGATTAGTGTCAGAGAAACTATTTTTGTGTCTTATAAGGAAGAGAAAACACTATTTTTCATCTACGGTAATTTGCATTCAAGAAACTATGTAGCAGAATACAGCTTGCTTGCCCACGGAAAAATAACATCTCTGGTATTGCTTTCCATCAAATTGATTTGATTTTCTGAACATGTCATTCTTCACTCACATAATTACCTTTTGAAATAAATCAGATAAAGTGTTGTCTTTTCCTCCCAATAAATATAAAAGTTATATGAATAGAATGTTATACAATTGGAACAATATGGAGATCTGAAAAAGAATCAATGACTCTTTTTAGTACTTGCTTTATGAATGCTTTCCGAGTTTTTAATAATTTTTTCACGATGTAGTTGCAAGATATGAAATCAGTGAGTTATCTTAGTTAAAAATCAAAATGTTACAAAACCCTAATGAGGTACTAAAAGATATATGCTTTCCTTTTGAAAAGAAAAATATTGCAAAACTAATGAAAGTGGTACTTGAGAATTCAGGTGGAAACATCATCTAGATCCAATAATGTTACTACATCTGCATATGGCAGCTAACCTCATAAAAGTAATTTATGCCACATCTCAATAAAAAAACAAGTAGAAATCCCATATTCTTTACACCCCAGTTACAGAGCAAAGCAGTTTTTTTACTTGCTTTGGAATAATGAATCAAATAACTGACAGTTCTAAATAATATTTTTTCTACTGTGATCCAAATGAAAAGGGGTATTTTTTTTTTTAAACTCATATACTGTAGTACATTGCAGCTTCCTGCAAGCGTTCTGACAGACCTTAGAGGCAACAGTACGGAGGTCAAGGAGGCCCTGTGAAGTCAGAACCCACAGTAAACAGGAGCAGAACTGGAGAGGACACTTGGGCATATATTAACTTAAATAAAAGGAAAGACTTTTTTTGACCAAGAGTCTTTCTAATGAGACTGAAAACAGACTTCCTTTGGGTAAGAATACCCTATCCCTTTTTTTCTCCCCCAGAAGTTGTATGTTGTTGTTTCTACAATTATCACCATCTTATCATCATCATCTTTATTCTAAAAATTTTTTCTGCATAGCTGTACTGAGATCTATTCATGCTCTTAAGAAAGACAATAAGACATGAAAGATGAGGGAGGTTTCTTTTTTCTCTTTAAGTGAAGATCACAAATGAATGGACATCATGGAGTGTATTAATAGAATTCACAGCTTCAGCTTGCTCTTAAAACAGATGGCAATTTCACCCCAGCAAGTATTCCTCCCTCTCAAAAACTAATATAAAAGCTAAGGTATCTGGCAAGGCTATACAGTTAAATTGTAAAACACCCTTTGGTCAAAAATTCCGTTTGAGCGCACACAGAATAAAAACACGTTCACCTGGCAACTAGCAGAAGGAGAGAGACTCAAATTTCCACTACAAACACTTGCTCACTATGGGGCAATACTAAGCAAAAGAAAACCATGAACACAACAGCAGCAAATACCAGTATAGGAAACTGAGTCCTGGCCTGCAAATAATTTTGATTTTTATATTTAAAAAATGCCAATCATGTAAGAACTTTACCCAGAACAAACCACAGTGGAATCTTATTGTATTACCCTCCTAGTTTAGGCAAGTAATAGCCGATTACTCAGTTTACTCTCAGTTATGCTGACTACTGCATATCCCCTCCCCCTTTTAGCAAACCATTTTCTAAGTTGTTATTTTGGGAAGACGCATTTCAGGTGAACAGACTTCATTAGACCAATTGAAATATTATTGTAGAACTACATTGTACCTGGGATAAGAAAGCATGAGTAAGACTGCTAAGTTTTTACTGTGCAAAAATTCCATTACTATTCTACCGTATTTCCAGAGTATTTGACATGTCAATATATCCAGCAGATAGGATCATTAGTCATTGCCTTTCCTATTGTTCAAAAGAAGTTTGTGCTATTAATTTTAATTTTTATAGTACTGTAAGCATGCAGCCTGATGTTAAATTCCTTTGCACTCAAAATTTCCATCCATTTAGCATTCATCAAAAGGAAACAGAGCATCAAGCAGAAAAGGAACATGAGTTTGCTTTCTAGAAAACCACTGAACAATGCAGAGCAAGAATCAGCTGGCCATTACTTAGGAACCAGAAATTTTCTATCTGCAAAACAAACATTTACCAAATTTTTCTTCACTATTTGGCTAATTCATGTCTCTGCAGTTTTCAAATTAAAAGCAAGATAGAACGTGCTGTGTTCTAAAGGTAAGAGGACAAAATAACTTCGTATTTTCTTACCTTTGCATTATAGGGAATATAATGCTTTGATAAGGCTTCAGGAGTGTGCATCCATGTTTTGTCTACAGAAAAGCAAAATAAAAGAAGCACTGAATAGTTTATTCAATTGTTAATTTAACCACTACAGTATCTATCTGGAAAATACCAACAGTCCTCCCTTTACTCAATTATCTGTCTGAAGTAGTCATTGGGGCTGGAGGTAAACCCAGCGTATCTCACAACTTCCCAAACATGAAAGTATCAGTTACTTCTCTTGGGCACACTTCCCATTTTAACTGACTTGATTTACCGTAAGAATTCAAACTTCTTGGAAAATATCAACAGTCCTCTCTTTACTCAGATTATCTGTCTGAAGTAGTCATTGGGGCTGGAGGTAAACCCAGCGTATCTCACAACTTCCCAAACATGAAAGTATCAGTTACTTCTCTTGGGCACACTTCCCATTTTAACTGACTTGATTTACCGTAAGAATTCAAACTTCTCCCCCCAAATATATTTATCTGTCTAGGGTTGCTTGCTGTTTCTGCCTTAGATCAATATTTTCTGCATCCTGCTGTTGTTGTTTAAAGCACTGCCCACATATTGTGATTGGAATGATTTTTTAATTTGATGAATTATGTGGTTTTTGATGAATTATCAAGACAATACAGGGACGAAGAAAATAATTTTTGAAAAATTATGAGAGCAATAACTAATAGAAAAAAGTCCTAATGCTTCTACAAAAAAATAGAAGCAAGTCAGATTGCAGCAACTGATTCTGAAGTTTAGATCTTCTTTAATCTTTCCTTATGTATCCTAAACGAATTTGCATATTTTCCTTTAATGATTTTCACATCACGAGACTGTGCTATTGTCTTACTTTTCCTGATGTATGTTTCATATGGTGACACAAGTTCAGTATCTGTGAAGTACATCTTCCCTCCTTCTTTTTAATGGTCATTTAGAATGTTCTACATAATTAAAGGTGTGATTACAAACATCAGAAAAAACTTATTTGTATTAGAAGTTTAGGAACCATTCTTTAAAAGTTTTCTCATTTGAAAGCATTTAAGAAAAAAAAAATGTTCCAAAATACTCAATTGTATTACCAGCCACACAAAAGATTCTGTAACGAGTAGTATTTTATAATCCACACATTCAATATTTAGTAGTATTTTCTAACATTATACTACTCTTGTTTTAATTAGCATAAATTAAAGTCATAAATTGAATTAAGTACCAGAATAATAGCTTAAAGCAAAATTCTGCCCTTGGATATTCACAGACAATTCCTTTTGCCTTTAATGGGAATTGCAGCTATAGCAATTACTAACTTTTTTGTTAGTTACACATAAGAATAACAACATCCTGTTCATTTCAAACTGTTCAAAAGCAAAAGCTGTGACATTTGTTGACACTAAACCAATAACTAAATATTTTTGAATATGCAGAATCAATAACACTGTTAAACGAGATATTCACCAGGATCCAAACTGCAAAGCTGAAGGAAATTTTTCTTCTTTAAGCAAATTTCATTCTAGATGATAGTAATGTTCAGCTCCATTACAGAAGAGTGATATGATCACTTCTTAATTAAGGAAGCATGATTTGTCCATTGGAGGCACCCAGGAGTACGATTACACACTGAATGGCTCTTTGTTTCAATTGTGGCTTGTGACTGGAATACCATAACTAAGAATCAGAAATATTCATTTCCCAGAATATTTTAAGACCCGACCCCTGATCTCTATTTTGAGTACAAAATCAAAAGCTGATGTTATCCACAAGTAAAAAATATCAATCCGTGTGAATTAAGAATGTTAGAGTAAAGCCTGGCAACCCACAAGATAACCATAAGCATTCTCTTTCAAGCCAATGCACTGCTGAAAACCAGACAAGCAGACTGGTGACAGGGCTTGACTGCAAGTCCCAGACCCAGAGGAAGCTAGCACGTAAGGCAGGACTGCTCTCCATCCCATCACGCTTACTGCAGCAGAGTGAAGACCTAAGCAGGGCAAATTTCAGCTCCAAAAAACACATTCACACTGATAATGCCAGTGTTTTATTTACCCTTTTCTTACACATCAACTTTTAAAAAAAAGCAGGATGAGGGTGTATTTGCAAATACATAAAGGAAAATCTAATAAAAATGCTCCAAAATAAAACCTTGACTCTCTTAAAAAAGTAACAAGAAAAAACCCAATCAACACCGTCTTCTACCCATTTCAGTGCCTGGTTCTAGCACAAACAAGCCATAGGGCTGTAACTTCTAAAGCAATTTTGCAGTCAGACAACTCAGGTATCAGTAAAACTAAGTATTTGTTCCAAATGTTTCCTCCTCCCTTCTTCCCATTCCCAAATAGTGCAAGCTCAAACCTGAAAGAAAAGAAAAAAAAAAAAAAAAAGTGCCTTAATTTTGAAGACAAGTTTGAAATGCCAGTCTTAATTAAGCAGCTAGTAATATTTCAAATATTATAATTAGGTACAATGCTTTACCTTAATCTTTTTTTGTGAAGTCACCTGCTTGCCTACCAATATCAAACTGTAATGCCTTAGGGATTCCAGCAAGGAAAAACATTGCTAGGAAAGTGTTTCCATAACTGTTGTTACCCCTAGTTGGGGAAAAATAAGGAAATATGGATGGGTACTCGCAGCTCAAAAGGAAATCAGTAACTTCGCAGGGTTCCAAAAAGATGCCTGGATTCTACAGGTCTTGTGCCATTGATTAAAACAGTGAGTCAGCAAGCAGCATTTCCAACATCCAGATGTAGACCTGCAGACACTGTGACACAGGCATTAAAGTTTTCCAATGACACTGGAAGTCCATTTCCTAGAGGCAGGTAATAATTACAGAGTGGTGGCACTTTCAAATGAACTCTTAATGCTAAACAAAATCAATATGAGGCAAAATTCACACTGATAGCAAAGACCTGAGAAAAATCATGCAAGTTGTTACAGGGCAGCTTGTTACCAGCATTTCCTTCTGAATTGTAAGCTCTGATTTTGGACTTATGCAACTGCCAGCAGGTATTTGAAATACTGCTCAGAGTTAGTCTGATTTCACAGCAGTTGAGAAATACCAAATTTGAGACATCTTTTGCATCCAATAAGCCAGAAAAATATGAAAAAGGGAAACCTATAAAACAGGTATTTAAATTAATACCTGATGGAGATGTGGATTGTGCTTTGCATGATCCTTCACTTTTAAATTAATTTTAAACAGTATTATTAATTCTGAAGCAACAACCAAAATATGAAACCCTACAATGAAAATCAGATTTCATATTATTTTATCAGTTGTATAGCAGCAAGGGTTCTAGACACTTCATAGAGAAGTAAAACAGTAAGTCCTAAAGAAACGACCACAAGCATAGACAAAAACAAAACTGACAGCTGCATGGATCTAATGTAACAGCTGTAGAAAGTGAAAAGAGATTTTTGCTATCACACCAGGTGAAAACTACAGTTATTTTAGCTCTTAATCTAGGTTGCTTTAGCATTTACATTAAAGTTTAAACAAGTGCCCAGTTATTTTTTGAGAATTCTGAGTTTGAGCCATCCTGAGTTCATTAACACTCAAGTAGAGTTTAGCTCTATGACTAATGATGTATGAGAGATTCTAAGAGGTAAAAAGCCCAAGTACATGGTGGTTTTGGCAAACATACTGGCACTGTGTGGGAGAAAAGATGGGGAAAAGGATCACTGTTCAGAATTCAAGGGCACAGGGTAAGCCACATCCTTGCTTAAGGAGAGTTATCAATTCTGTAGCCTCTGCACACCTCCTCACATGCATGGCATGCTCACTGTGCAGCACGGGCTTTCAGAGAGCCCCTGGAGCAGCAGCATAGCGTCCCATCTAGTATTTAAGAGAATTTGACTTGGGTTAGAGCTTCTCAGGTTTTGCTCCCTGCCAGCATACACTAGTCTGCGAAGGGCAGTCTGAAAACTGTATTAAATTACCATTTGGAAGACACGGGGTTTGACAGACAGAATTGCAAGGGTGGAGGCAGGGGGTTGGGCACTTTCACAGTCAGTATTAACTGTGCTCAGAATTAAGACTTCACTCCTTTCTAGTCCCCCTTGAATCACGCCAGCCCCTTCCCATAATAAAGGAAGGATTCCTTTACAATCTGCATTTCACACCAAATGCTTTGTTGTCACACAATCCGGGAGCACCAGAGGGAACCATATCAGAGGCCTCACCGGCGCTGGGAGAGCCAGGGAAGAGGAACATGCTGACAAATCACACGTTGAAGTCAATAGACTCAGGGACTTCATAAAGGATCCAGAACAACTGTGCTGCACTTAGCAGAGGATGACACTGGGTTAGATAACAGCACAGCTCAGCATTTAGCTACCAAAAAGGAAAGCAATAACAGTGCCAAGAAATCGTTCTCCCTTTGAGATTAATTTCTCCACACATTACTGCCCACAGATATTATAGAACGGATTTAGCAGAGAGGCATTGATGAATTATTTTCTAAATGGCAAAACAATGCTCAACAGTGCAAGTGTACTTAACTGCTTCCCCAAACCCCACTCTCATTATTAATTCATGCATGCTAAATGTGGCTCTATTTAACTATGTTTTCAAAGTGTTATCAAAGCAGGAGACCTAGTGGCCATTCCACTTAATAAGGCGAACAGAGGAAGACTCTGATTTTAACTCTTCCTTTTTTAGTGCCATAATAAAAATACAGTAATTTCTAGAAGGTAAAAACTAAAGCCTTTGTTCTTTACTGAATCAAAATCTCTTTGACATCAATGGATGTCTTCCTTGCTAACAGAAAAGAAGAAATCTTGAAACTGTTTTTTCTTCCTGCTTTACAAAACTTGCTATGGAAAGAAAGATCTTATGTGACAATCAGCCTAATAACAGTCTCCTGGAGAAGAGCATCCCACGAGATCAGTGCTACATCAAGGTATTAAAGCCTTAGGGAACAAATAGCTTATTTGCTTCAGTATGTGTATATATGTACCTGTATCTTTAATTCTTCCTATATTACTTATTTTTGTACATATAAAGAAAACCTTCACAATGGGACATACGAGAATTGTCACCCTGTTAAAATCATTTCCTTTACCCTGCACTGCCACAGAAACAGGCAGGTTCCCACAACCCTCACTCATGCCAGTCAGACAACAAGGCAGAATCTGTTGTCTCGGCTACTGCAGACAATGCATGAACTAATATGATAAGCCGCGAGGCTTAACGCTTGTTACCAGAGTTGTCATCTGAACACAATACCTAAACGTTATTAACATAAATCTACTCATATTCTTCTACAATTCAGCTGTAGTATTTGTTCCAACCACCTTCCGGAGGAATGACTGAGTAGAATCTGTGTGCCTAATAGTAGTAATTTATTAAAGTTATTACCACGTTACTATGATTAAGCAATTGAAATTATGAGTCAGATTCTGCCCTAAGCACGTACAGGCAAATACCCATCAATATACATAATCCAAAATTAACTACTTTTGTTATTTCTTTTTTTTTTTTTTTCTTCCAAACACAAAATGTTCTTTGGAGGTGTAGTAACTCTTTGCCAAGACAACGGAGCTGTATCTCCCTAGAACAGAGTGAGCTTTGCAGAATGTTTCCCCTTTCTGTGTCCTTCTCTCATAATATTTAGGACCTTATGAATGGTTTTAACCAGTTTGTTACTGAAATAGCAAAATTATATCACAGAATGCTGGGTTGGCACAGTTGAAAAAAAAAGTGTCTAGTATTTGCATTTCCTCCAATAGTAACACTCACTGCATAACCTACACATTTTATACTATGTTTTTAAGATATAGACACTAGTATGTAGGTTTTGACAAGAAAAGAAAACAGGATCAAAATAATATATTAGTCCAACTAACCAGTGATTACCAAATACTTGCTTTTGCACTTCTAACTTCTTGATGTTAAGAACTTTTAACAAGCTCAGCTTCCTAAATCAAAGGGAAAAACAAGAAAAAACATTCTGAGCTATTTATCCTGTACCTCTTACGTCTTGTCACAAGAAGAGCTATACCGTGTCTTTGATAACAGCTCCTAGTTGAAGTGAAAAAGAGTTTACTGGTACAGTATACCTTATTTTAAGCGATCACATTTTCACGAAGAAATATGTACAGATCAAACTTCAAACTCCACCTTTCACTTCTGGAGCCAGAGTTCAGTAACTGTTCCAGTATAACTACAAATAAATTTGGAAAAGTATAATTTAAGCTTGTCAAAAATTGTTTAAAAAGGCAAGTACTTCAATTTCAAACTGTTACATGTAAGAACATTCTGCATGTCACTTTGGTAGGGCAAAACAAAGGAAAAGGAGCAGAAATGGGAATATCAGCACAGTTAAAATACAATTTTAATTTTCTAGTTCAGGAAGATTAAAATAATGTAATAGAAAAAGTTGAATTGGAACTTTTTATAAAAATGCCAGTAAACTGGAAAGAGAAGAGAGGAGTTGCAGCATCCATTCAGAATAATTACAATGTGCGTATCTGTAGCTTTCTCTTGCTTATATACCCAAGGTGCATCATTTTATGTACCTAAAGGATTTGATTTCACAAAATAGTATTTTCCCGTGTGACATATTTTGGATGTTCTTTGCAATGTTCAAACCGCTTTATAAGACAAAGTCCTACAAAATGGAATAGTCATTGTGATTCCTATCGAGGAATGGTTGGTACACATTCAAATTTACTTCACACTGAATACTACATCTTGTCTTTAACTAGAGATTCATCCAGTAAACTAGCAGTGTACCTATTAACTCAAGCATTTAGGTTGCAGCTTGGAGAAGCTCCTTGCAGTAGCACACTTGGACAAGAACTCTACTTCATACACTAGTCACAACTTTAATAATTTATTAGCTTGTACATCTCAAACAATATGCTAGCCAAACCAACATGTGAATCATTTAACATTCTGTAAATGAGACTGTATAAATTTTAATAGGATAGAAACCCAAAAGCTTCGGACTCCTTCAATGCTGTTCCCATTCTGAAGTCAGTCTTTAGTGCTTTATGGTTACGCAGTGAGCATATGTTCTTGAAAGGAGCTCCTCGGGTTTTGCAGAAGCAACAAACAGCTATTGTGGTAAATATAACTGTTAACTTGCCTAGAATATTCTTTAAAGCAGGCAACAGATAAGATTATTTCTGCAATACCTTTCTGAAGATAATGCAGATAAAACAGCCAACAGGAAATTACCCTCCTATTCTCATGTTAACAGAAAGAAAAGAGAAATCAGACCTATCTGTGCAGACCCAATATGAATCCTATGGGAAAGTTTCCAAAGTGTACTCCTCATTTGTAGCTATGCAACCTCTAAACACATACTGCAATCATTTCTTTGCTAAACAATTAGATCTGTTCTTTCTGCCTCCCGAATACAAATAAACACACAGTTGCATACAAATACATGCAAACACACACACACTGCAGGACTAGCTGCTCCCTTGTCTCACCAACAGAAGACAATTTGGTCCTTGCCAAATTAATGTACCAACCGTTCCGTTCTCCTTGGTGGCATACTTGAAAGGGTATCTCCATAGCCTAATGAGAACAACATAATACCACAAACAATACATAAAAAACATATTAAGTTACAAATCCAAAAAAGAGATTTGGTCACTGAATACTGGTTTTCCACGACCCCATATTTCAAAACTCCAGAAGCAGTATTTGGGACGCACAAAACCTCTCTGTGGAGGTATTACAAAAGTATTAAGATAACTGATTTTTGTGTCAAGTGAGACTAACTGAACATAGAAATATTTGGTACACAAAAAAAGCAGCCTTTTTTCCTCACAAACTTTGCTCTTGAAAAAATTCTTATTTAAAAAAAAAACAACTTACAAACACAAAGCAGCAGCTTTTTTGGTGTGGTGGCAGAGAAGATTTAGATCTAGTTTTCGTTTTTTTTCCTGGAAGTTATGAGTGCTTTTATGAGAGAATAAAGTGCAATCACAAGAATATCTGAAGGCCACAATGAGGAAGATTGTGATTACTTATATGGCTTTAAAATAAATTAATATCTACTCTTTCTTGATGTTTTTTATCACTACTGTTAACGTGGAAGTCCAGCACACAATAGCCCATTTGTTTAAATCACTGATGCGAAATACACTCTCTGGAAGAATGAAAGTATTTGTTGTAGGACTAATTCCCTTTCACCGCTTTGGGGCTTCACCTGTTGTCTACTCATTCAGAAGAAATAAAAAATAAACAATTTGTCATCTCCAGAATGCAGATGAAGTTTACAATAAAGTCCATATTATACCCAGTCCATTCACATAAAAGAGCATTGTATAACCTTTGATTGCATTTTTTAGATGTCAGACCCTGCCCATTAAATGCATCTGTCTACACTTTCATAAATGAGATTCATAAAAAGCCATTTCACAGAAATAATATTGCTGAAACTTATGACAGGCTATTACTTCTATATATTCCATTTAACATTATGAATACCATCTACATCTCATGAGCTGATAATGTTGCATCAATTACCAACCTTATGAACTGCTACCATAAAAAATAGAAAATTCAAAGTCCCGCATAGAACAGCAGCTTTGGCATTGAACTTTGTGCCATATGTAAAGTAAGGCTGACATTTATTCTGGGAAGGAGGACCACTGGGGTGTAATGAAGACTGAACTAAATTCAACTGTGATTTACACACTCCACAACCTCACTGAAGTCCACTGGATTTCACACATTGCAATTCAATTCTAAATTTAGCCCAAAGGAGGGATATGCACCTACATTTTTAGCTCTATTTTGAGAATCTCAAAGTTCCACTCTTTAGTCCCAGAAGGTTTGGATTACAGACATTCCATATTTAGAAATACCTCTGTCTAGGAGGAACAGTAGTTTTCTTTCACATTTCTGATGAGGCAAAAGCCAACAAATACAAGTGAATTTTTGTTTACTTATATGCACTAGTTCTTATACTAATGGCTTGAAACAGAAGACCACAGAATCAGTAAAATGTGCCAAACTCACCTGGGAGAGGCACATCCATTCACTAAAAAAAAAATATAAAATAACCAAACACCCCATAGTTAACGCTTTCTGTTTTGTGTACACACATTACCCGTACACACAATCATATACCAATTAAGGACAAATAGGTAATTCAGTTTAGATACCATTACACTTATAAGGAGAAAAATTTACATGAAAATACAGCATTGGCAAAGATATCTTACAGGATAATTTCATTAGTATCCCTAAGCTACTTAAAAGAGACACTGAAATTATCAAGATGCAAACACATTTCAAGATGAACAGCCTTTGAGCTGCACTGCAGACTTTTCACACTACAACACTTCAAAGTAAGCATGCTACCACACCTGACTTCAAAGGAAAAATTAAAGGAAAAACTGAATTTTCAGAAACCATGACCCAAACCTGGATTACATACAAAAACAAGCTCCTGATACTGTGATAGATACAAAAATGCTTTCACAAGCTTTGTCACAATAACAAAGCAGTAAGCACATACATAATATTCTTCTTCAGTTTGTTTTTGGGGGAGAAAGAAAGAGATCCTTAAAAAAATATAACCTATAAAAACTACTTCAATATACTGCACTCATTGGTCAATGAATGGAAAACAGAATACACATTTTTGCACAGTTGGCATAGCCATATATTTCAGCAACAGAGAACTTCTCCATAATACAGGTAATTGGTAGTCCAACCAACCTGTATTGAAGTCAAGAGAAAGGCTATTTTCCTTTGAACAGGTACTAAGTTTTTCCATATTAAAACATGCAACTTCAGCAGGTGCTGATATCAGCTTGAAACTAGAAATCAATGTTTTTGGCAACATTATTTCATAAAGTTTGTTTCCCTGTTATAAGAGCTCATGGCTAACTGATGAGGATACTACAACTAAGACTGATAAAATGTTCCATTTATTTATTATTACTTGTGTAAGTACTTCCTGAAACAAGCTGAATTTGTTTAAACTTCACGTTTTCTTATATTTTTCATTGTCATTATTAGGGTGAAAGATGATCAGCTTGATTTTATTGATTTTATTCAATATGAGATTTAAGCATATCAATTAAGCTTCCAACTACAATTAGACAAATAAAAATAATTACAACTAAAACACAAACATAAATTATCCCAGTTGGAAGTTATGGATTGTGCTAAATCTCAGGGAGCCAGGTGGGCAATGACTGTACCAACTGTTTTTGAAGTCAGAGCACCCAGTACACCTTGTCAGTTGAGTTGGCGGTTTCACACCCAAACCATGGCCCTCAAAAATCACCTTACACTGATTACTTGCTCCAGGTATGATACCTGTAGTACAAAATTCTGATGCAAAATTAAGTACTGGTACTACTGAAAATGGAGGTCTGTGCTCTAAAGAGCACTTCTCTGATTTAGGACAAACCTGCTGTTCCCATATCACAGATTCTCTCAAGTCACACATGGTATCTATGGGAAACTCTTTTCTTTAAAAAATCAGGGTTAATTTTAAAAAGAATTTACTTCCTTTCTCTCCTAGCGACTCACATTTTCTTTGCAACTCTTTTGTGAAAACACAGGTTGCTATCCAACCTCCAACAGTTAAAAAAAAAAAAAAAAAAAGAAGAAAAAAAAATCAAGGAGGCTCAGTTTTAGTGCTTCTTTTCTTGCTTTGTCTATCGAAGTCTGCCAATAATGAAATCATTTCCTGAACACTTGGAAGGAAAGTTTTGTTGCTTGAATCAGATGATGGCATGAGAACAGAGCTCTTCAGCAAGCACAGCCCAGTGCAAATCATTCTAGTCACCAGCTTAGCCGGTTCAAGAAGACAAGGAGCTATGGCACTAGCTACTGTTTTCTCGATATGCATCGTATTAAAAGGCTAGAATAGACCAATCGAGACAGTGAGGATTAGGGGACACTTATTTTATAAATCTGCACAATTCAGATATCTTTTGGCTATTATCAAAGTACCACTTACATCTCTTTAAATCCCTTCACAATCCTACCTATCTGAGACTGTTGTTTATGTAGCTCCAAGGTAACAGACTAATATAAACTTGTAATTAGCACAAACCCTAACCAGCACAGCCACCAGGAGACTAATTTGGGTTTAGAGAGAACTGCCAGGTATGTCACAGCACTCATATATTATATTACATCCTCAAAATATCCACGCTCTTACAAACAAAAAGAAACCCACAAAGAACCCCACCAAACACAGCCATGGAAATTTTATCTTTGAGGTCTGGGAGTAAAATCAGGAAATACAATAAAGAAAGATGAACCTGTTTGAACCTGCTCTTAAATGCAGTTACTAGACACGAACACTGATACAGCCAAGCTTTTCTCAACTGCAATTGGCATGAAAAATATCTAATTTTCACTTATTCTTGACAATTGGTAATTGAAATTTGTGCTTTTCCCAGGATACGAGAATGGAAACGCTGCATGCATTACTTTGAGTAAAAAAAAAATGGATGTCAGTATGTAATTCTCCTGGTTGCTCAAGTTCTGAATCATTTGTAATATTCCACAACAATTGCACTTCATTGTGCCTGACAGCTTCTTCTATGATACTTTTTTTTTTATTGGGGTAAAGAGAACAGAACACAAAACTAACTGAAAAACAAAGCAAATGCCCTTGAATACACTGAAATTCCAAAAATTTAGGTGAGGTCAGTAAGAATTTTCTTACAAAGAAGTAGTGAAAACAGAAAGGAATTAATCCAGACCCCCTCAAATGATCCCTGATACCAAGGATAAAACTTCACAATTTGACCATAAAGGCAAGATACAGACACAGGCAAGGGAAATGAGAACTAATGAAAGAGCATTTTAGAGCTCTGGGTGCAAGTCAAAACACCAAGGAAATATCCCATAAACCACAACTGGTCTACTTCTGAAACACGGTGGGCTGTGTTTCAAATGTTATCAGAAGTCATCAGAAAAAAAGTTAAAAAAAAACAAATTATATGGTCACCTAGAAAAAAACTAAATCTATAAAACCCAAGCTTCTTTCCCAGCTGCGATAAATAAAACTACAATTAAATAATATTAAAATGGTGTCTCAAATAATTTGGAAGAAGCCAGGCAACACTATCAAGCAGCTCATAGGTACAGATCTCTTTATAGAGGTGTTAAAAATATCTACACAAGAAAATAAATCAGTGCTTAAGAAGAATGTGGGCTATGGATTTGAGTTTATTTCCTCAGCATCCATTGTGCTATGGGTTATCAAAAACTCTTTTATCAGGTTTTGTAGCCTTTGGTGAATAAGTGTATCTTCCTCCTGCAATCAAGGTACTTCTGCTGATATTCTGGACTACTTACACTATCTCAATTCATCTGGCTTTAACAAATAAATGTACTAGACATGAGGAATGGAGTGATACTATCTTTTCATGTTGGTATGGCAGATTCCTTTTATTTTCAGCTTTGATGTTGATACCAAAGCGGGAATTGTTGTTACATAAGCAAAACACTTCCACTTACTCCAATGGTATTTTCACCTAGTTTTCACCTGCTTTAATAGCAGGCGCTCTGGCTCACAGTGCATCAAAACACGAAAAAAGAAAGAAATTAGACCTATTGAATAATTTCTATATTACAAACAAGTGAGGAAAATAGCAACAAAGCTTTCAGTAAAAAAAAAGCTGCATCTCTAATGTGCCATCTGAAAACTTATGCTTAGTCATAAACAGGCCATGAAAAGAGAATAAGCAAGCCAGAAGAGCAACATACATAACTGAATATTTAGTGGTTCGATATTCTTTTGGAAAGCATACCATTTCAGATTGCTACGAATTCAGAATAGCTTCTTAAAGCTAAGAG